GAATCTTCACCAGGAAAATATTACAATGGACCAGTGAAAAATGGTGACCAAAAATATCTTAGGGAATTAAAAGCACATTAATAAATACAGTCAGGCACCCATACAATGACATTTCATTCAGTAAAGTGGTCCCATCAGATTATAGTAGGCTATATTGTCCAGCCTAGGTGTGTACTAGGCTATTCCATCTAGGATTATGTAAGTACATGTTGTTTGCACTACTATGAAATCACCTAATGGCGCACTTCCCTAGAACATACCTTGTTAAGCCATGCATGCACGACTGCATGACTATAACTGTCTTTAAAACAGGTTTATCAAAAAAGTTTCAAAGCAATGGTACAAGAATTCAAGGAGGATGATATGAGACAACAGAAGATGAAACAGGAGGGGCCAGCAGGTGGCATGATGGTTAAGGTTCTGGAGTCCTACATGGCTAACTGTGGTTCAAATCCTGGCCTGGGAGCTCGCTTTTCACTTTCTCTCTTTCTCTCTCTGGCAAGTATGTGTACTCGGATTATTATCAGTTGATGATAATGTGTATATTATCCCTAACTGGACTGGTGTGAAATGTATTTATGCTGGAAAATTAATGTTATACGCTAAATGATGTATAGTGATTGTATAAAAAAATTAAAGGAAAATTAATTATTAAAAAAGAGAGGAAAAAGAGTAAAATTTTCTTTAAATAATAATAATAAATTAAATAATTCTTTAAAAAATATGGTGAAGGGACCAGCAGATGGCATAATGGATATGTTGCTGGACTCCTACATAGTCAACCATGGTTCGAGTCCTAGACCTGGTGGCTTAAAACTCACACTTGGGCATGTGTGTTTGCATGCCTATAATACACATCTCCTCTATGAAGTCTTCTTAGACCATTGCTGCCTTCAGTGATCACACTTCACTTAAGTATTTAAATAAAATTTTATCATTTTTTAACATTAAATTATATCTTCGTCATTTTCTAATACTTTAGTACTTGATCGTCTTCTCTTACAGAAGAGATGATGATTATCAAACTCTTTAACTCTAAACCCAGTCATATAATATGTTACTGAGAGGAAGCAAAATGATTAGATAGAAGTCCCAGATATCAATAATAACATGGCAATAATTACTGTAATTTATTGTGTGTTCATAGATTATGAATAAGAAACCAATGCACAGAGGCTAATTAGCTTACTCTAAATTAAAAACTAGTAAGTGACAGTCAGGATTAGAACCCAGGCAGACTGGCTCCCAGCTCCAGACCTGGTGCACATACTGGTACATTATGTGCGTGACCTTGCTCTGTCATTTAAACCCACTGTCTTCTCTTCCTCCATTAGAGCGAAGTGGGAAATGACTTATTTTATTAAGTTGCTCTAATAATAAGAAAAGTACACTTAGGAGCTTTGTTAGCCATGAAGCTCTATAGCAAATGTAAAGTATGACTGTCATCATTGCTATTTTCATGCTTCCATTGTTGCCACAGCATTTTACAGGTTCAGCTCATAGAGGATCAATGATTTCACTAAGAATCCTGTACTGATAGATGGTTGTCTGGTCATTTACTGACTTCTAAGCCTGAAAAGGCCTGTTCTTACTCAGATTGCGCAATACCCATGCCCTTCAATAGCTTATATTCACAGAAAGACTACCCAGCAAAGTGTGATATGATAAATGTTGAAATTTGGTTCTGAGTTCTGCAAAGAGACCTAGTAGAGAGGAAGGAGGAAGAGAAGTATTGCGAGATGCAAACAGTTAAACAAATGTCTCTCAGCTTAGAAAGAAAAAGCTGCAATTTCAAATTCTAATAACTTCCTCTGGGAAAAGCAACAACAGGTTTTTTTATTGTATTTATGCTACACAGCAACCTTTTTGCATTATCTTTAGGTTCCCTTTCCTGTACCTTTTCCCACAAACATTGTCCTTGACCAAGACTAGAAATGAATTTGATTTCTCTAATGCAGAAGGTAATTGGATTTTTCTTTATTGAATGCATCGCTTTAATGACTGTCTCTGCTTCTGCCAATTTAGCTGCAAGTGACCTGACATTGATCTGATGATCTGAGTTAAAATAAAGAGTTGAAGCTGGGGGGTGAAAAAGACCAGCTGCCTAGCATCAGAAAGAATGTTTATTTTTGCCTCATCTTGCCATTTTCCTAAGAAAATGCTTTATCCTTGACTGTTGCCTTTAAAAAAAGCAAGCCACTTAAATAATTGGTCGTACAGGAGCACATTGCTTCCTTCTGGAAAATATAATAAGTATTTCCCAGAAAGAGCCCTCGAGAAAACATTGAAAATTGAATAAAAACTACCCAATAATCATCCTGTTCCTTGAAAATATTCATTACTATGCAGACTTTCTGAAATAGGATAAATATTGCTGAACAGAATTAATTAAATCTTTTAAAAATCTGGTGAAACATGAAATATTTATTTAAGTAGTTATTTACTTAACCTTGTGGTTTTATTATAATATTTGACACAAGAATTGTTATTCAAGACGGTTACGAACAAGCAGTGGCTGAAATAGTTGTATTTAAAAGAAAAGCATTTTTTTCCTCAAGGGAAGCTATGATAGAAAGCTTTCAATGCCCCCAAATATATGGGATATGAATTTATCTACCTTTGCCTTTATTCATTTTCTACTAACAATTTAATTCATTTGATTCTTGTTTAATTTTTATTCTACCATCTTCCCTTTGCTTATTTTGATAGATATCATGAATAATTTTGATGGAAAAGACAGTCCATGGACATTAGTCTGGGTGAGAAAATAAAATCTTGCACTTAAAGGATCAAGAAGAAAATAGATCAGTTAAATCATCAACAACTAGTTTTCTTTAAAAAAAAAAGTACAAGTGTTCTTTCTTTTAAAATTCTTAACACTAGTTGTGTTTACATTTATCAAAGTGAGAGACAAGCTTAAAGAAATTCGAGAGACTTTATATTGTAGGCACTTATGATTTTGAATCTTTTCATACCCACTGACGCCACATCAATGAAATCATTGCAGGTCCTCAGAGCTGACATAAATCTGCAATGTTATTCAATGAAAGCAGGGCACTAACTTTGGTTCTCATCAACCAAGAGACTCTTGTGAAGTTTATTCCTAGAAATGGCATTGAGAAGAGCTGAGATCAAATCTTTCCTGGAAACCATGCTCTTATCTACTAGTATGATTGCATCTTAAGGGAGCATGTGAAACATTGGCATGTCAGTGAATATTTCCAGAGTCCATTTCTTGAACACTGTGTGGCACAATGAATGAGGTTGCTTGAAAACTGATGGACCTTCCACAGGAAGTCCAGTACTATTGAAGAGGTTACTGATCCAGAAGTATTTCCCACTGAATTATAATCTTTCACCATAAATGATTAAATCTTACCCATCTCTAGGCCATTGTTGGAAGTTACACTTAAATGCAATGTTAAAGATTTTAGAGCAAAAGAAAAAGTCTGTTTCAACAGATGATAAAAATTATTGCTTACTCAGTAAAATATATCTCATCCCATGTCAATTTTCTTCATTTTGAATCTGTCTTGCTTTTTAAAATTTGGACATTATTAATTACAAACATAATTAATGAAATAATATTTTCTTCTTTTAAAGGAAAGGTAGATTTTTGTAGAAAAAAGAAAAAAATAGTATGTGTACACACACATAAATGCATTTTCCTTAGAAAAAGAAGGAAATTAATTCCCCATTCCAATAGGATTTTTACAAATCCTTTATAATAGGTTACATATATATGATTCTTTGGATGTTTGCTGAGACTATTAATATGTGGTGTGGCTAATAAAAAATTATTTTGTTAATTAATCTTTAAAAACAATAATTTATGAGCCAACAGATAGCATGGTCGTTAAGGTGTTGAATTCTCACATTGCCTATTGCGATTTGAGTCCCAGACCCGGCAGTTTGTAAATCATATTGGTGCATGTGCCTGTGTGCCAAAAATCCAATCCCAAGAGAAGAATGGAGGAGAAGGGATTATAGCATGGCCATTCCCCAGGGAGGGGGTGATTTCTCTTTCCTTCTGTCTGTCTCTGTCTCTCTTCAGTGAGCACATTGCTCTATGAAAAAAACCTAAACACACAACACACGCACACAGACACACACCACTTATATTCTAATTTTTTTGACATCTTCTTTGAGCAAATATTTCAGTTTATTACATAAGAGATCTTTGGACTTTAGAGGGGATACAAACATGAATCTTTGCCTTCAAGGATTTTAAAACTTAGTGGAGACAGAAAAACGTACACATTAAGTAAGTAAAATAGAAGGTAAATGTTAGATGGTGTGGGAATGCTAGATCAAGAACTACCAGTTCCCTGCAGGTGGGAGAGAACTGTGAGGACATTGCAGTGGTAGTATGATTTCACTCAGTCTTCAGAAGATGAGAAGAGCCTGTGCATGAAGGAGAAAGAGGTAGAACATTTTTGGAAGAAGGCATAGAATTACAGGTGGGAAGATGCTAGCTAATTAGAAATATATCATACAATTCAATATGAATACTATATTACATATATACTTGAGAGAAAAGAGTAAAAGAGAAGATAATATTTTGACTAGTGATATTACTAAAAATATAGATGCATAAGAGAATATTTCGATTTTAGACTTTCTGACTGGTGCATACGTTATAAAGAACATAGTATTTTATTTATTATTATATGTTTTAGTTCTGTGCATATATTACTAATCAGAGGTACCTTCTTTTAAAGATTATCTTAATTGATATTTTCAAAACAGTCTCAATATTAGACATGTTGAATGACCTGAAATGTATTCATTCAGTATGTAATGTCAAATACACTATTAATTATTTTAATTAAATGAAGAATAAGCTTCTAATTTTTGTCTCTTCACATATTCTCATGTTTTATTTGTACTATTAAAATATGTACATTCTATTTCCATTAGAATGTAAATTACAGGCTTATATTCAAATCTGAATTTAAGGTTTCCGAAAGTGTTAAATAGGTTTGTTTCAATTGCTTTAGGTCACTGATATGATGCTTCAGGACAAACCCTATCCTGATTGGGGAAAATCTGCAAGAGCTTTCTGGAAGAAAGGAAATGTTAGGATCATTCTATTCTGGTAGGATATTATTTTATTTATTTATTTCTTGCCTCATTCACTAAAGGTCTTGATTGTAATTTTTCTTAAATATATAGAATTCTGTCTAAAGAGACATTTTAGTGACTAATATGATCTTTTAAGACTATTATCCTAATTATTATTGGAATTAATTTTCCCTTACACATTGTTACATATACAAATTTATGAGAAAGAAGTTTTGCTTATATAGTGACACACTTAAGATTTTATCAGAGGAGGACAGCAGTTGGTGTAATGACTATGACTGCGGTTTGAGTCCCGGATTCGGTGGTTTAAACTCACACCAGGCACATGTGCATGCGTGCCCAAGATCCTGAGAAGAGAATGGAGGAGAAGGGATTGTGGTGTGGC